TTTCTTAAGAAAAAAACTGTATTTTAACTGTTATTTTCTCTACGTGTTCAGTAGATTTGACTGATATTGTAACCACCATAAAAAATTAAGAAATAAATATAAATTGTGCCTCTTTCATCCTAGAATGAACACAGATTATCACACGAGAATATAAATGTTTAGACTAAATAGCTTAAATCTCATAACATTATACATTTATATATATTAATTATTTTTATTATATTGACCTTTCAGCCGTGCCTGGCTAACAATACCATAGCTACAACGAGACTGCACACATGCACTCATGTTACCATATCCAATAACATAAAGCTGACCTTTGGTCTATACAAAGTAACTTGTCTTGGCTGTGTTTTAGTCGACTAGTATTTTGTAAAATATGGTCAAATTTTAATTATTATACATTATACATGTATATAGATTATTGCTATTTTGAAATAAGTTCTTAAACATATCTTTCTTAAAACATAGAATAGTAAATAAAGAAGTAAAGCAAACAATTAACTCTTCTAGTTACGACCTTTGTACTCGGTTGCTGCTTGATGTAAGTTGCTAAGCCTTTAAAAATTTTGCATGTGAGGATATGAAACAAAATAATTTTTTTAGGTTTTATATATATACATTTGAATAACTAAAAAATCATTAGTTACTACATCAATACCATAGAATTCCACTATAATTTATCAAGATTAGTAACTAAGATGTATTTTTTTCTAAACAAATATGAAATTTCAAGTTGAGTAAAGACTCGACTTACCTCTACGACGTCTTGTATCGAAAGAAAGATATCATGAATTTATATTTGAAAATGGCTAAGAAAGCCACTAGGGAGACATTCTGAGCTTTCGATTGGTTATTTATATCATTTATAGAAGTGTATATAAGGGAGCATTTCCAAAAATGGAAAGACGTGGGCGGGGTGCCACTGTTTGATTTATTACATGAGCAATATCTTAGCTAATAAAAAAGATAAGACATTCTTATTTTATATTCCAGCTTGTCAATATCGGTAATTTGAGTTTCTAATTCGAACAAAATTATAGATTTAGTATTTAGGTTTCACAACATTAATTTGAACCAGTGCTACATTCAACATACCACGTGACACACACAAAAATCAATGTTTATCTCTGTTTTTTTTAATATTTACTTTTAAACTAAGAAATTTAGTAATGTACAATACTAAAATACGAATTATAATCTACAGTTTGATACCAAAGTTATTGATATAAATTCATGAAATGGTAGTTAAATAAAATTTTGAATGCGAGTCAACAAATGAGATGACATGGCCTTTCACACGTGACCTGTCTCGAAAGGGTTAAACAACTTTACTATCAATGCATGTAAGAGAAATTAGTATTATAATTCAGAGTTTGATATTATCTAAGTGTTAAATGCCAATAACTTTCATAAAGTTAAAATCTTCTGTGTCATATTTTCTAAATCGTGTTCTTGGTGGTTTTTGAGGGCCTCTGACGTCAATTCCAGATGGTCTCTGGACCTGAGGTGTTTGTACTTCTACTTTTTTGAGGTTGTTCTTTAACTTCAGATATTCTGCTTTCCTGTTCTTTTTATTGTACAAAGCTTTCATCTGAATCACTGCTTGGTGGGGAAGGTAGTGCTGCAGTCACTGTCACAGATATCTCTGTTGGTTTCTGTTTTGTGAACTTTTGGAGGAATAGGGCTAAGCGGTGGAGTGCTATTATCTGAAAGGACATCCTTTATGTTATGTGACAATAAAATATATTAAAAATCAAGGAGGTGGCATATAGTCATATCTAGCAAAAAATTTTAAGAAACATATAACTCTTTGTGTGACTTTCTTTTATCTATTCTCATTTCTCAACATATCTAAACTATTGAAATCAAAATCAGTGTCAGTTATGCCTCAAAACCCTTCAACTATATATTAAATGATTAGCATCATAAAAAAAACAACAGGTGTTTTGTTCATCTCTGGCTATAAGCTGGTCACTTTAAATAGATAAAAGTGTGTTTTTTTTGTATTTTGCACAAAGCTACATGAGGCCTATCTGTATTAGCCGTCTCTAATTTAGCAGTGAAAGACTAGAGGGAAGGCAGTTAGTCATCACCACCTATCTCCAACTCTTGGACTACTCTTTTACCAACGAATAGTAGGATTGACTGTCACATTATAATGCTCCCATGGCTGAAAGGGTGAGCATGTTTGGTTGGATGGGGATTCAAACCCACAGCCCTCAGATTGCGAGTCGAGCACCCTAACCAAATGGCCATGCCAAGCCTAGATGAAATGAGAGGGCAAAAGTAGCAGTGGTTGTGTAAAGTTATTTGAAATTGTGAAACTGTAGAAACTATCACTAAGAATAACAAAATGGGCAATAAAGTAAGTAATATGTATTAAATTAAGAAATATTAGGAAATAAACTGCATTTCTATAATAACAAGAGGAGTTATAATTCTTAAACTTCAGTTTTGTTGTAATGAGACACAAGAGCGATCACAAATCTTAACTTTTGGTCTCTATAATTTGAATACTACTCCATGTACAATATACTTCTATGTCTAAACAGAAACTAGGTTAATTTGTCTGTTTACACAACTTTCTTTTAAATTCCTTAGGGTCAATTCTTCTCTGCTACAGGAAATAAATTTTGCTAATTCCTGACAGATGCCACACCCACCTTCTATATTTAGACTTGAGATTTAGATGCCACATGTTTATAACCAATTGAAAGCACTCATTTTGAACTACATAATACTGTCAGTCTTCCTAAGTTATTGACACAGAAAAAAGATGTTATACCATTGGAGAGTTTGAAGTGTGATGATTAAGGCAATGGTTCGAACATAAATTAATGGCGTTTTTTGTGGTATCAGTCTAGTAAATTATAATTTTTCTTATTTCAAAATGCATAAATAAAATCTGCAAAAACTAATTTGTCTACCCTTTTATGTGTGAGATTCAATGAGGGTTAGAAAGTACAATGTACGAGTGCAAAAAAATTTCGTAGTATCTTAATTATTATTTATCATTGTTTGCAACATATTTTTTATTTACTGTTCTAAAATAGCTGAAATGTAAGCATTTGTGAGGAAATAGTATATATATATATATGTCATTACAGGGGAAAAGTGTTGTCTAAAAAATCTGCTTGCTTTGTTTTTGGAAGTACCTCACTACAGTCCATGAAAATAGTAATGGCACTAGAAGTAAATCATTGCCTTATGTTCAGCGAGTTTCTGAGTTTGTTGCAAAAATTTGCAAGCAAATTCATGAACAAATCTGTAGTTCAAATACTTAACTAAAAAATTAAAATTTTTGTGTACAAAAGACTAATGTTTTCTGATAGTCTGCAAAACTTCGTGAATATATATATATATATATATTATCATAAGTTCTAGTAATGACTAACCTCATGGTTACTTTGGTGGTCACATATTAGGCCCTTTGAGCATAACCTGTAAACATAGAGTTAATGGTATATTATTAAAAAATTTTATTAATAACATTTTTATGATATTGTTCAGTTTTTTAGTAATGCTATGTAGACACACACACACACAAAAACTGGCTTTATGTTGATATTTTGTTTTCCATATCACTATTTTTCAGGTATGTCTTTTTACTTATTTTTTTCAAAAACCCTCAGGTAATCTCAGCAAGAAAGGGTGAATTTGAAACTGGATTTGAAAGAGGAGGCCAGACCAGAGAACATGCTATGTTAGCAAAAACAGCTGGAGTAAAGCATTTAGTAATACTGGTGAACAAAATGGATGATCCAACTGTTGAGTGGGCTGAAGACAGGTGAATAAGCAAACTTAGTTTGAAATTACAGTCATGTTTCTTGTCTACGTGTTATGTCACTCAGCACATCTGTTAGGGATTGAATTTCATCAAATGGCTCCTTATTCATGATTTTACTTTTTTAAGACAGTGATTTTATGTAATTTTCTTATTAAAATATGTATAAAATAGTTTTTTACAGATTTTGTAATACCATAAAGCACAGCTAACAAGATTGCATATACTACTATTGTACAAGTTATTTTTTTTTTTTTGTAATCTACATAGCTTCTTTTGTGTTTTTCTTCTCAGATTTTTAAGCTCAGAAATTTCTGTGTTTATTAAAGTTGGTCATTTGTTATTATTATCCTAAAAACAATGAGTGATGAGTAAGCTTTTTTTTTTTTGGCTGAAAGTTTAACTCAGTTTGATCACTTTTATTGTAATGCTTTTTTTTCCAAATTGATTTCTTGTGGTGGGAGTATCTTACAAATGTGGCAACAGGTTTTGATGGGAGTTTGATGAATATATTAATCTATTGATAAAACTAACTGATCATATGTGTTGATATACTTAGCAGGAATAATACTCAGTTCACTTCTCCTTGCATAGGTTCAATGAATGTAAAGAAAAATTGGTTCCCTACTTGAAAAAATGTGGCTTTAACCCCAAAACGGACATCTTTTTCATTCCATGCTCAGGGCTTACTGGGGCTTTTCTTAGAGACCTCTTAGATGAGAAAATTTGTCCATGGTATAGGTAAGTAAACTATTGAGGTATATTTTTGTTGATGTATACATCTGAGCACACAATAAAAGCTTCTAAATTCCATTAGGATTTTCTTTTTATAAGCTTTCTTTAATACTGAATTTCCTTTATATTTGTCAATATTGTGCTTTAAATTGTGTATTGCATCTGCCTGGAGCCCAGAAGTGGGCAATACTTCAGTCAGCAGTGCTGAGGACTTTGTCAGATCAATGTGATTTCTAGACAGATGCACTCTGGAAAAGAATAAACACCAGTGTTAACTACTTTTTGTATTAAAACTATCCTCACAACAATACTGAATGTGTTCATGTACACACTAGAATCAGTTATCCTTTGCTGAATAATATTTTATGTACTTAATATTAAGAATGAAATAAGATAGGAAAACGTAAAGAGTTATATCACAAGAAAAATGTTAACTGCTAAATAATTAAAATTTATTTAGAAACTTTTGTTTGCACTATCTGAAATCTTCTTAAAAAGAGGAAAATTATCTTTTGACAACATTTATAATTACCACTGTATATTAAATTTCAGAGGCCCATCTTTACTCCAGTACATTGAAACACTTCCGTCATTAAACCGGCCAGTGGAAGGACCTTTCATAATGCCTGTTGTAGACAAGTACAAGGTAAGACAATTTTCAACAAAGTACTAAAGGAAATTGAGTGGCAATAATTATTCAAGTAGGTCATTTTAAAACAGATCCTAAGCAGACACTGATGGGTTTTTTTTTTGGTGGTAAATAAATTGCACAATGAAGTTAACTTCCTTTTTTGTTTAAAGAAGATTTAGGTGGTGAGTAATGAAATGAACTTTAGCTAAATTTGATAGGAGACATCATACTGAAGATCTGTGCTGGCATTTTGAAATATTATCTCCAAAATACTGCAGACAGATAAAACTAGTTACATAATTAAAAATGAATCATTTTTATTCTTTTTATAAAATTGATATATTAAAGTTTTCTGAAAATGTAAACAGAGAAATTTGCATTTTATTTTTGGTTATGTCATAAGATGGAATTTTGTTTTAATATTCATTGTTTAATTTCTGTTAAGCTACATGGGTTTAGATAATATAATATTAACTCTCAACACGTGACCTTTTGTACTTATTTAAAGTCTTTATAAATTAATACTTATAACTCTCAATATATTTGGTATATCTTCACGAAATTTGGTAGTCTTTCACATACAAAAAGACGTATTTTTTTAGTGAAGTATTTTTAATAAAGTAAAGATTTGTCCTTGAATATATTGAGTATTTGTTTTCAATAGTCCATGTGCAAAGTAATTTTCATGTTAAAATTAAAAATACTTTTCGTCATCTCAAAAATCTCAAATTTCCTTTGTGTAGTTCCTAAAACCTCCTAAATGAATTTCAAACGTTTTTTTTTCACTAAATTCTTATAGTTTATCTGTTATTTTCTCTACCCTATCTCAAAACTGGATTGGTAAATTTGACGACCTTGTAACCACCAAGAAAAAAAAATCGAAATAAACCTAAATTAACCTTCTTTTTTTTTCTAGAATGACTTCAAATTGTAGCATGAAACTACGTTCGTTTATCCTAAATAGCTCTAAGTTCATAACATTATACTTCTATTTATAATTAAATTTTATTGTTTTATTGCCCTTTGAACCATGTCTAACTACTATTCGCGCCATTATATGTTGTAAATCACTTGGGGAATGTGGAAGTCATATTACTATATTGAATTACATTACCCATGAGCTGGCTCACGTGCATTACTCATGAACCATTTTAATTATATTGTTATTATTATTACTTGTTTTAGCTAATCAAGTCTTAAGTAACTTAAAAAGATCCGTATTTTTAATTTTAATTACTTTTATAATAATAAATAAAGTACTTACCCAATCTTTTTTTTCTTGCCCTCACTTGTCGAGGAGAGTTAAGCTTGATTTTTTTTTTATAGTAATTATAGTAAAGCATTTAACAATTTTTATTTAATTAAATAATGCACCAAAGAATATAGACTAATAACATGCAAAAAGTAGACAAATTCACTTATCTCTCAATATTTTCCTGGCTTTCTAACTATGCGAGAAGAGCCATTACAAATTCATACAAGCTAGTTGTTAACTTTCCCACGGGAACAGTGTTGCTACTCTGAGTGCAATTGATGATTATCTGCTCAGAACACAATGTTATACAATACATCATTTGATGGATGAAAACCTTGACTTTCTATTAGTTATAGGTAATATATAATGAAACGTAAGAGAGAACTATCAACGAATTGTGAAAGAGATAATGTGACAGGTGGGTGTGGCAGGAGGGGTCTAATTTTCTATTTGATAGCTCTGTAACCAAACAAAATTGAAGGCTATAAAAATTATGGTTTGTTTGAGCAATAACGATTTTATAGAGAGTATTTTGCATTTAATTTCGTGCATTTTTGAGGGGTGGTGGATAAAATAGGGATGATGACATGCTAAGACAAAATGGGTCACATTAGTGGAAATTCAGGATTTTTTTTATATATTTCCATGTAGAATTAAGAACTTAGAACTTGTATACTATTAAAATATGGATTATTAGTTAATAGTTTATGCTATTCTAATTGGTATAACATAAACAAAAAGTAATTTAATAAAATTTTGAATGTAAGACACTAAAACCTTGTCATGCACAGTAAAGGGTACCTGGGGCAACAGGGTTAAATAATATTACTTCTTGTTCTTCAACACTCTTATACCTATTGCCATGGGCATCCTTTACTGCACATGTCATTAGGTTTTAGTGACTTACATTCAAGATTTAATTAAACTGCTTTTTGTTTATGTTATACCAAATTCTTAGCTAATGATCCATATTTTAGTAGTATACAAGTTTTAAGTTCTTAATTTTATAAGGCAATATTAAACAAAATCCTGAATTTCCCCTAGCGTGAGAAATTTGGCAAATTTTCTCTAGGCATCCCCTATTTATTTTATTCACCACCTTTGCAATAAGTATCAAATTTAATGTAAATTACTCATTATAAAATCCTCATTGATCAGACAAACCATAATTTTTATAGCGTTCAATCATGTTTGGTTACAAAGCCATCAAATAGAAAATCAGACCCCTCTTGCAACACCCACCTGGCACATCCTCTTTTTCAGTATTTGTTAATAGTTCTCTTTTATGTTTAATATTATATTACTTATAACCAATAGAAAGCCAAGGTTTACATCTATCAAATGACATATTATATTAAGTTGTTTTCTGAACAGAGAATTGACAATTTCTCTTTTAGTACAAGCTTCGTTCCCACGCAAAGATAAGAACTAGTTTGGATGAACTTGTAACAGCTCTTATCGCATAGTTAGAAAGCCAAAACAATTGTGCTAGTTATAGGAAATTGTCTGCTTTTTCTATGTTGTTATTCTAGGTTTTTTGGTGCATTATTTAATTAAATAAAAATTATTTGGTTAATTACTACCATTAATATAAAAAAACAGGGTTAAGTGCTATCAACAGTTGACAGTAAAAAAAAAAGTCCTGGGTAATTACTTTCCTTCTTGTTTTTCATGTTTATTCTTTATTAATTATTATAAAGTAACTACAATGTAAAAATAAGGATCTTTAGGTTAGTTAAGGTTAGATTAGGTAAAATAAATAATAATAATATAATAATAAAATTGTTTCACAAGGTATGCACATAAGCAGCTAGGAGTAGCTTGTGGGTAATGTAATTCAAAGAGCAATCAAAGGGCTGTAAAACAATAACATTTAATTATAAATAGATGTATACTGTTACAAGTTTAAAGCTACTTAGGATAAAGAAACAGTTTCATGTTACAATTTGAAGTCATTCTAAGAAGAAAAAAAAGGTAATTTAGATTCTTTCTTTTTTTTATGGTTACGAGGTCAGTCAAGTTGACTAACCTTGTATAGATTTGGGGTAGAGAAAATAACACATAAAATTTATAGTGTTACTGAAAAAAACATTTAAAATGTATTCAGGAGGTTTTAGAGATTATGCAAATGAATTTTGAGATGAAGAAATATACTTTTAATTGTAACATGAAAATCACTTTGTGCACAGACTAGTAAAAAATAATACTCAATATGTTCACGTACAAATCTTTTTCTTTTTTTTGGTTTATGAAAAATATTTCACTAAAAAATATGATTTTTTGAATGTTAAAGACTTATGTTTACAGAAAGTCTGCAAAATTTTGTGAAGGTATACTTAATATATTAAAATAATAGTATCAAAACTTTAAAGACTTTTAATGAATACAAAGAGGTTATGTGGTCAGTCAAATCCACTGAGTTTGTGTTGAGAGATTTAATCTAGTCCTACCAGAACTTTTCCCAAATCTCTAATTAAAAGAAAGTAATGGAATGATCCTTAACAAAAGAGATACTAAGGTTATATTTATAGCAACTTATGGGAAAGTGCGGCCACCATCTTTGTGACTTTTACATGTAGCAAGGTTGTACATTATCTCTTTGATGTAAAAGATTACAATAAACAAAAGAAGCTTGACAAAAGTTTTCTTATATAAATAATTATCAGTGATTACACATGCAATGTAAGCTTAAGTGTCAGTACTCACAAGAGATTTTCTCACTCCTTGGCAATTTATTTAATGGAGTAGCATTAACCAGGAAGTCTATATTAGTTTCATTACATTTTGTAGATAGGCATACAAGTTTTAAATAGTTCCTAATTTAAGATTGGAGTTTAGTGCTGAGATAATGGTACATTTTATTTTTTTTTAACTTTTGTGATACTTTTGTCATCTAAATATTGAGCTTGAATTTTCATAATTTTTAAGGATTTTAATTTTATTAGATTAGTTACTTTTATATTTTCATAAATATTTATATCAACTGCTGATTAGATATTGCAGAAAGAAGGTCCATAATAGTAATTAGTTTTCATCAGGATTTCCTATGATTGACCAATCTTAATAATCTTCACTCTTTCTTTTTTTTTACAGGACATGGGAACAGTGGTTCTAGGCAAAATTGAGTCAGGAGCAGTGAAGAGGAATCAGCAGCTGATCTTAATGCCCAACAGGGTAAGTTTATAATGCCTGGAGATGGCTTGAATGGGTAATGAAGAAAAACTTTAATATAAGTTTAACATAACAGCAAATGTACAACTTTTCGACAAGGTTTTGTCATCATCAGGGTAAGTTTATATCAGAATTCAATTCAAGTGCATGGTATTTATTTTGAGTCGATCACATAAACATCTAAATGAGTTTTTTATAGAAATGTTAAAAGTTATTAGTGATGTACATGTAACCTGTACAGAGGTTTTGCAGACGTAACCAAAATAACATGATGTATGCTTGTACACCATTTGGATGTCATGCTAGAGTCTATAGCACCCTGATATACCACATGTGAGATAAACTCAGCAGAGTTGAAAATGCAATAATATATGTAAGATACTTTGTCACTGACATTATCTGATGATGTTAAGCATATGCAGGGAGAACATCGACATCGATAACTGCTGAAGCTAGTGGGCTCGTGAAGAGACCCATAGGTTTTGCCAGATGGATTATTTTTCAACATTGTGAGAGGTGCAGCCACATCATTACCTGAATTCACCCCTCACAACTTTTTTTTTTTCATTGCCTGGCATGTATGAAATCTGGCCATATTCTTTGCTGCTCGTCTCTTCTGGGGTGACTTGATGTGAGAAAACACAATAGGAATATAGTCAGGAGAGAGTGAGTGATCACTCTTGGCACCTGGAAATTTAATTACGTGTATTGGCAGCCTGTTTGAGACTATTAATATCATGATACAAAAAATAATTATTCATGAATAACTGAACTAAAGTGAAACTATTTCTGATCTGTTTGGTTCATATGGTAAAATTTTCAGACTTTCAGGAAAATTCTAACATTGAAATGTCATTTAGATACTGTTGAAAATAATTATGATATGATGGACTGATAAAGTTTATTGCATGCTAAATACTCAAATATCATACTAAAATTACCATAATTTATGTTTGAGCTGAGCCATAAGGCAGAGACAAGGCTTCTGCAGATTTGTTTGTTATGTTTTGTGTGTCATTTTGGGTGACAATGCAGGCCGATACTGTCATGTTATCAAAACTTTTCCTTGGCTTGGGGGCTAGATGATCATTTACATTTTTATTCTATAGTATAAAAGTATACATTTACCTGATATTTATTTATATACTATTGAAAAATTAACGTTCCTACCTGCTATAAAACATTTGCTACACAGACAGCTGTAGTCTGATGGTTCCCAGTCTTTCCAATTGACAGCTGAAATCCATCAATTCTATTGCTCTTTGTCTTTTAAAAAACGATAGAAAGCAAGACTGGGCTTTTGTCTCTGTCTATTGCTACATTCAATAGCACAACAAGCAGTTACTATGATGGTACCTGATGAGTTATTTCATCATGGTGATTACTTGAGATGTGTAAGCATATGGTATTTCTTTGTGTGCTGTGTATCTGTGCAGATTTCAGTATGGTTTAACCTGTATATGCTGCCCCATTGTTAAATGTACAAGGCAGAGTGATCCTTTCAAAACTAAGGAACTTAAAACACAAAATTATCAATATAACAAATAATGTTTCCTTTATCATACTGTGCTGTAACAAACAATTGATTCCTGATTTTGTGGAAGTAAAATTACCCCAAAACCTTAATCAGATTACAAGTATTATATATAACTTACAGAAAAAACTACTAAAGGCTACATTATACTCTAAATACAAAGAACTGAATGACTTGCAGAAGCAAACAAATGAATCCAGATCATCAACTAGTTTGCTGCACTGAACCAGATATTTATGGACTCTTACAACCAAATCAACAACAGGGAAGACAAAGGAAAACAAAAAAAGATGCCAACGACAGAAAGGATGTCAACATGACAAACAATTTTATAATCAACAGATCCAACTAACAATTAAGCACCGAAGAAATGCATCTTCTGAACAAGTACTCAAGTTCTTTCTCGCACCCAAAAATATTCTGTGGATTAAGATGAAAGCATGCCTTAAAGACCTGGCAACAATACTGGTGATCTGTTCCACACAGACCAAGAGTACAGAAAACAGCTACCAAAAAGAAAACAACACTGATTCCAATTCTATCAATAGTAAATAAATCACCTTTACAGGTAAAACTGGAAAAATTTATTCCCCTGAAATACCAAAAAAATGAGAATTAAAAAGTAACCTTACAAAGAAAGATATTTAACATATTAATAATCTGAAACAAGACAACATCAAAGTTCTTAAATCAGATAGACAAAAGCCATCATAATCATGAATACCAATGAGTACATTAAAAAATGAATAACATCACTTCAGAAAGAAAGAAATTTAATTCAGTTTTTACAAATCCAACAAAACCACATGAAAACCAACTAAACTTTATTTTTTTTGTGATTAAAGTGAGAAGGTTTACTCTTACTTAGGTAAGACCAGCTGCTGTACATCACAACTAGATGGAACTCCCGACCCACACTAACTTGATTGTCTGCTTAGACTCATAATGTCGATCTATGAATCTTTTAACTACAACTTAAGTAAATATATAGCATAGACATTTTCACATATGTAATATCTGCAAGCTCCTTTTCCAAAGAACTACATTTGATCAGCTAAACCATATAAAGCTTTAATGGCTATCTTTGATGTAGTAACCTTTTCACTGAAGTTCCAACCACTGAAGCCTGCAAAATAGCTTTTAAAACTTTACATCAAAGACCTCCAACCCACTAATAAACATCTCCAGCAACCAACGAGCTACTCTTTTAGAATTTACTACCTCAAACTAGTTTTATGTTAAACAACTTAAACTATGTAAATATAAATGTTTTAAGTATGGGCAACCTGGTGTCGCCAATCCTAACTAACATTTTTAATGACACGGATAGAATTTCCAACTATCAGTTTAGCTTTCCACACACCACTATACTGGTACAGATATGTAGATGATACATTTGATAGAATCGGATCTATATAACACACACCCCTGTTTCAACCACTTTAACTCCATACATCCAAATATTCAATTCAACAGTGAAAAGAAAAATGTAACTAACATTTCTAATCTTCAGTATCACAAGATCACATACACAGTTTAAAACAAACATCCACATGAAAATCACTCCTACTTAAAAAACCTAATAAACACTGCCACAGAAGTTTCCTCACCTGACATCTTTAATGACAATATTCATAAACATTTCCTCCAAAAACTGTTGAAAGAATTCTTCACAGAAACCTAAACCAAGGATCTGAAATTCAGTAAAACAACTAACAACAGAATACTGCAATGCTTATATCCCAGCTATCTGCAACATAACATGTTCAACTTGGAGCATGATGATGGGTAAAACAAACAACACGGCCTATCTAACTAATTGCTGTAAAATTCTTATCAATGCTATAAGTGTAGCTACCAGTTTGGCTGCCAATTTTGATTTCATTCCTTTAAGTCGCACGCTCAGTCTGTTTTTGGCTGCACCTTTTTTTCACACCTAAGGTGGTTTTGATTATATTTACTGTAACATTAAGTAAAATAAGCTTGATATTGAACATCTATAACAAATTTGCAACACTCTGTGCCATAGCCAAACTCAGGAATAAGATTTAAGATTATTATGTAGTTTTAAATGTTTTTTTTTTTTTTATTATTCATCTTGTATTTATAAATTCGTTGAAAATATCTTACAAGTATTGCATTTTATTATATTTTCTGTAGAAACAAGTGGAAGTGTTAACTTTATGGACTGATGAAGAGGAAGTCAACATGGTTTCCTCTGGTGACAGTATAAAGATAAAGCTGAAAGGAGTAGAAGAGGAGGTAATTCATGTGTTAAGAATATAAATACATTTTTAAAGTTGAAGGATCATTTGACTAATAAAATGTAAATGTAACACAATGCCCAGTTGAACATGTTAGGTGAACAAGTTATTGTTACCAAAATCAGTGAAGTTTAGACTTACCTTAAATAAAGTTGATTCCAGTGTACATTTAACAGGGTTGCCATTGTTTTAATCTTAACAAAATCAATTTTACCTGTTTTATTATCTCCCTGATTTTGTGAATTGTTTCTTAAATTATGATTCCAGTTAACATTTAACCATTTTGTGATGGGCTCGGAATAATAATGAGTTAAGTATTTATACTATAACTTTTAATGGAGTAAGTGTGTCTTCACAAAATTTGGTAGACATTTAGTGAAGATTACAAGTCTTTCGTACACAAAAAATCCAATTTTTTAACGAAGCATTTTTATCATAGATTTGGTTGTGAAAATATCAAGTCTGTTTCATTACCAGTCCAAGTGCAAAATGATTTTCATGTTATAACTAAAGAACTGTTGTTCCAAAAATCTAATATTATTTGTGTAATCTCTAAAACCTCCTAAATACAATTCAAACGTTTGTTTTCAGTAAAACTTTATATTTTGTCTGTTATTTTTCTACCCTAACTATATGGGGTCTGTCAATTTGATCAGCCTCATAACCACCATAAAGAATCAGGAAATAAATTTTAATTATGCTTTTTTTGTTCTAGAATGACTACAGATTATAACACGAAAACACAAATAGCTTAAAGCTCATAACATTATACAATTATATATAGTTATTATTTTTATTATATTGACCTTCCAGGCATGCCTGGCTAACAATACAAAAGTTACAAACAAACAGTGCACATGCCATATCCAATAATTTAAAACCGACCTTTAATCTTTACAAAATGGCCAGTTTAGGCTGTGTTTTAGTGGATTAGTATTTTATAAAATACAGTCACATTTCAATTATTATGCATTACACACACACACACACACACACACACACACACATATATATATACATTAATACTATTTACAAATAAGTTCTTAAACTTGTTTTTTTTAACATAGAACAGTAAAGTAAGAAGTAAAGCAAACAATTATATCTTCTAGTTACAACCTTTGTACTTGTTTGCTGCTTGTCGTAAGTTGCTAAGCCTTTTGAGATTTCCAACATGGAGGATGTGAAAAGTAATTTTTTTTAGGGTTTTTAATATATATATATATATATATATATTTTAGATAAACAAAGAAAATAATAAATTACTATATCGCTATAATATAACTAGCATAGTAACAGCTGTATTTGAGTCTAAAAAAATACGAAATTTCAACGTCACTAGTGACTTACCTTATCGTTTGAAATCTTGTGTGGAAAGAATGCGGTTAACACAATAACACATCAAAATTGCTGAGAAAACCACTAGGGGGATATTCTGAACTTTTCATTTGTTATTTATGTCATACATAGAATTAACTGTATCTAAGAGACCATTTCCAAAAATGGACCCCTCGACGTGGATTTCTGTATGTGGTGAGGGGACATCCCAGGGAAGGTTCTGTATTTTCAGTTACTTCGTCTGGGATCTAAACATCCACCCACGTGTTTGCTGTGTGTGGTGACCCGTGAAGGGGAGGAGAGGATCTTGGTGGTTGAGTGGTGTCTGGGGCACTGCAACACACTACAGGGTCAATCGGCTGGTCCACTCTCGCTAGGGTCAACTGAGTACCAGTGTTGGGCATTCTCAGTGGGTGTTGTGGACATTGTGTCTGATGCTGGTGTTTGGGTATAGTGCTCACGAAACCCTGGCATTCCTGCAGTGTCCTTGTTTGACATTGTAGTGCATCCCCTCGTAGGACTCCATGGCGGGTGGGGTCAGTGGGCACTGAATCTTTCTCCTTGATTATGGACTCCCCCCAAT